AGATTAGATAAGTAAAAGTTTGTGCAAAACGAACACTTATCACAAACAAAGGAATATTATATACAGTATATAATATATAGGAACGAAAAAACATAGTACAACTCTCGACCAAACAACTACCTGGACTTCCCAGCCATTAAATGTTGACTCTAAAGCACTTTCTCCATTATGCATTGACTTCATCCAGTCACCACTTTACTTTGATTATAGAATTTAGGGATTAATTTCCAATTAATTTAATACCGTAATAAAATGTTTTGTAGATACTACACCCGTTGAAATATGTTGAGTGATCGTGCACTATTGATCTGCAATATAAAGCACATGTAATTTATAGATTCATGGTGTAATTAATTCACCTGATACTTTCGTTACGTGACCATAATAAAAGAAGAGAAGGACTCGGTGAATATTCAACACATGCACTCTATGTATAGCTAGTTGTACGTAATATATAGTTTGTGTGGTATATAAATTACGCGTTGAATAAATCTAAAGTGCTTTCATACTTGTGATCTATCGATCAAGAATGTAAATTCTTTATTTAATTTCTTGCAAACATATTCATTTTAAATTTGTAATATATATCAATCAAATGCCAAAAAATCAACATTAGGGTAAAATATTGTCGTTACGTATCCCATATAAATCCAAGGAGGATATAGATAATAGAAAGCGGACAATCGTGACCAGGTCTTAAAACTTGCAATTTCTCCAAAATTTAATTTTATAAAATAATTCAATTTCAAAAGTTCCGTCTACACATGAACTCGATAAATTATATTTCACAACCACATATGTATGTAGTTACTGTTTAATGTTTAGCCTCCAAATATGGACTTAATTCTGGCATAATTAATTAAAGTCAGCAACCCTGGTTGGACTTTTTTACCCCCATAGCCGGTTTTATTAATTCATAAAGCGTGACACCGATTTCAGCAGCTAATATGGAATATTGTTCATCTATATATATAAGCAGTTTACTGATAAAATGAAATATCACCAAAACAATTGCCAAAACTGATTCTAATCATACCATTTTCACACTCTTTAATTTCCTGCAGCAACCTCATAATTAATACTTGAGCACAGGCTGTGTTTCGACTGCGTTTCCCAGTATCAGGTACGAAAATCATATTTTGCCACCTTTTATTTGCATCCCAACCATTTATTAAGTCATTAATATATATATATATATATATATATATATATAGATCAATTTTTTTTTATAGTGATAATTGTAATTTTGAGATTTTAATTTTAATTATAGTATCTAATTTAGTATGTTATATCCTGCATGTGATATATGTGCACTTGTATACATCTATCCGTTATTTATATATAAACATATATACTCCTTTTTTTCTTCATTAAATGATATGTGTGTGTATATATCTATAGACACACACAGGTTATTTGTATTCTATATATGAAAGAAACCTTATAATTGATGTAACATTTATATGTAGCCAACAAAGTGGGTGTGTTAACTTTTAATTTAGATCATATTCGTGCATTAATTATTGATTTATTATGCAATTAATTCTCTTATCGGCTTAGCAAGAATTTTGGGCGATTTAATGAATAACTTTATGTTGCTATCAATTTTTCTGTGGTTGTTATGAAGCAAATATCACACATGAATTTTCTGATGTATGGGGATATTAACTATTTTAATAATATTATATTTATTATGAGGCATGGATATAACGTGTATAATTTATCTACGTAGTTTACCATTGGGTATAATTATCTGATGAAGAACTATAAATTAAGTTGTGAATAATTAACATTTGGTACACCTCTGTCACTTTAACTGTTAATTTTTTTTATTTTTATCGCCCAATTCATATTAATTAATAACAGATGAATAATGATGATTAATAATAAAAAAAAAAAAAAAAAATTCATATACAGTAATTCAATAAACATATGATAGGACGGAGTGAAGCCGGCTTTACCAATATAGGAAATAACCAAACAAGACAATCTAAACAGATAAAGTTCAGTATAATAATAATTATGTTTAATTAAATTAGGTTTTCTCTTCTTTTCTTTTTTTTTGAAAGTAGGTCTTATTATTTGATAATTGTTCGACCAGTGCAGTATATTCCTTTTTTAATTGAGCTTCAATTATGGGGAAAATTAAATATTATCTTAATTTATTTTAATTATACAATGGAATATATCATAAATATATAAAACGAAATTAATGAAATTTAATCTTATCTTGTAACAAAAGGAGACGTACACTAAAAATATGCAATCACTTTACAAAAAAAAAATTAATTAAAAAAATAAGCAATGAATTATTTTCACAACTGTAGAAGCCAACCAAAGTTTACTGTCTTCCATTTACCTTTTGGGGTCGTTGTGTATCTATTTATATTTTGCAATTATGAATAGTTTAGTAGCCGCCAAAGTGGGAAATTAATTACTTGCACCAAGTAATTCCTTTCCTTAAATACTCCAAACTTTCTTCCACGAACAACCTCATTTATCATTAATATTACGTATATACCCCCATATTAATTTGGCCTATAAATAAGTTGCACCAATATTCGCTTACACCACAATCACTCGAATTTATAAGTCTATAGTTTCTACAACAAAGTTTAGTGTTGTATACTATCATTCTTATTTGCATTGAATTGTCATACAATCTTCGTCTTCCTAGCTTCTTCGTTCTCTCTCTCTCTCTAAGGTGTTTCATCTCTCTCTCTCTCTCACTTTCTCTCTCTAACCATGTTATACTAATACTCTTATTTATATATATATATATGATCAGAACTAATAATCAATTGGCATATTTGTGATTATATATTACAACAGAAAGAAGAATGTGGAAGCTGAAGATAGCTGAAGGCAATGGGCCTTACCTATACAGCACAAACAACTTTGTAGGCCGACAAACTTGGGAGTACGATCCTAATGCCGGAACCCCCGAAGACCGCGAATCCTTTCAAAAGGCTCGAGACATATTCGATCAAAACAGGAAAAAGGGATTTCATTCATGTGGTGATTTGTTCATGAGGATGCAGGTATATATACATATACATATATATGTATCATATCATAGTCAGTATATATTAAAATAGAAAATTATATGAAAAGTGATTTTCAGTTTTTAAATTCTTGTACTTTGTTTGTTTGTTATGTCCAACAGCTCAAAAAGGAAAGTGGAATAGATCTCGAGAGCATACCACCGGTTAGACTCGAAGAAAAGGAAGAAATAACTTACGAAACCGCTACTATTGCTGTGAAGAAAGCTTTGCGGTTAAATCGAGCAGTTCAAGCTAGCGACGGCCACTGGCCTGCCGAAAATGCAGGGCCTATGTTTTTCACTCCCCCACTGGTACTACATACTACTCATTTTTGTTTTCCATTATTTATTTGGTATTACAAAAAAAATATATATACATATGTTTATATATCATGTGGTGTAATTAAACAGCTTATAGCATTGTACATAAGTGGAGCAATCAACACAACTCTGACATCGGAGCACAAAAAGGAGATGATCCGTTACATCTACAACCATCAGGTGCTTATTTATCATAATTAATTACGGAATTAGCTAGTACTTCATCACCTTAATTATATAAAAACACATGTAGTTAATTATTATGATAATCTAATGGTGGTGGTTGGTGAAAGCAGAATGAGGATGGAGGGTGGGGATTTTACATAGAAGGACACAGCACAATGATAGGGTCGGCACTTAGCTACGTTGCATTACGTATACTCGGAGAAGGTGCTGACGATGGCAACGGTGCTATTGCTAGAGCCCGAAAATGGATTCTTGATCATGGTGGAGCTACTGGAATTCCCTCTTGGGGGAAGACCTATCTTTCGGTAACAAAATTTAAATTAAAATTCCCAAAAAAGAAAATAAAAAAAGAACTCAATTTTAGGACATGTAATTAACAAAATGGTTTTAATTGGATCAGGTGCTTGGAGTGTATGAATGGGAAGGTTGCAACCCACTTCCCCCAGAGTTCTGGTTGTTCCCTTCAATTTTACCTTATCATCCAGGTAAAATTATATATGTGACATATAAAATATTTTTTTTTAATATGTAATTGGAATCTAGCTAACACACTTTTTTGAAACATGAACTACAAATGCAGCAAAAATGTGGTGCTATTGTCGGACAACTTACATGCCAATGTCGTACCTTTACGGTAGAAAATACCACGGACCAATCACGGACCTTGTTTTATCCCTTAGGAACGAAATTCACGTCAAGTCCTATGATCAAATTGATTGGAATAAGGCACGCCATCATTGTTGCAAGGTTCGTAAATTCGATCGACTACGACTGAATCTAATACTCTAGTAAAAATAAATAAATAAAATCGGGACATGATCAAATGATCTAGAAATTGATTTTATTTGTTAAATAAATACAGGAAGATGTTTACTACCCACACACATTCGTACAAGATTTGCTTTGGGATACCCTAAACTACTGCACCGAGCCGGTGATGAAGCGTTGGCCGTTGAATAAGATTAGACAAAGAGCTCTCGACAAGACGATTAAGTACATGCGCTATGGAGCTGAAGAGAGCCGTTATATTACCATCGGATGCGTCGAAAAAGTAAGTAAAATTCAACGAATATCGAATCGTCTACATGACAAAATTTAGAGAGACTAATGACAATGAAAAAAAAATAAAACTATGTTGTGATTACAGAGTCTGCAGATGATGTGCTGGTGGGCCCACGATCAGAACTGCGATGAGTTCAAGTATCACCTAGCCAGGGTCCCTGATTATTTGTGGCTCGCCGAAGATGGGATGAAGATGCAGGTACTAATTAATAACCAAATTATTATAATTTTTTTAATCTTTTATTGTCAATTGTAATAATACATATATATATGGTGATTAATCATGGGACTAATTAAAAGGATGTTTGTAATTTGTAGAGTTTTGGAAGTCAAATATGGGACAGTACTCTAGCCACACAAGCAGTTATTTCGACTGGCATGGTTGAGGAATACGGCGACTGTCTTCAGAAGGCTCACTTCTACATTAAAGAATCTCAGGTTCGTTTCAAGAAATCGAACCGTTTTTTTTTTCTTTTTTCTTTTTTTTTTTTTGTGTGTGTGTAATATTTGGTTAAAAATTAATCTGAATTAATTCCACAATGTAGATAAAGGAAAATCCGAAGGGCGACTTCAGGGGCATGTATCGTCATTTTACAAAAGGTGCATGGACTTTCTCGGATCAAGATCAAGGATGGGTTGTATCAGACTGTACAGCTGAAGCACTAAAGGTACTCACTTACATTCATCATCTGGTTAAATTAAAAATAAATAAAAAAAATTGTAAAGAAAGGAAGAAAATTTGACAGAAAAAAAAATGCTAATTATTGTTGCAGTGCCTGCTGTTGCTCTCACAAATGCCGGCTGAAATTTCGGGAGAAAAACCGCCGGTTGAGCGCTTGTACGATGCGGTGAACGTGCTCCTTTATTTGCAGGTACGAATTACCTTTTGATATATTCATTTAGGCACTCAAATGAAATCCTATCTATTTTGAGAGTTTAAAGTGAATTAATTTGCAATATTTTGTGTGCAGAGTCCTCTGAGTGGTGGATTTGCTATTTGGGAACCCGCAATTCCGCAACCATATTTGCAGGTACGGATTACGAGAGCCATCTCAAAATCCGGACCCCACATTTTTAATATTGTTTGCGTAAACAAGTGCAATTTTGATTTTTGATATATAAGGACGCAATTTTGCTACATATCTTTCAGGTTTTGAATCCCTCGGAACTCTTTGCTGACATAGTCGTCGAGCAAGAGTAAGAGATATTAGCTCTCATTTACTCCGCATTTCAAATAGAATTTTCGATAAATATAATAAAAAAAACCTGACTTAATTTTGTGGTTATAGGCATGTTGAATGCACTGCTTCTATAGTCCAAGCCCTTATATCGTTCAAGCGTATGCATCCAGGCCATCGGGAGAAAGAAATCGAAAACTCTGTGGCAAGAGGAGTTAGCTTCCTCGAAGAAAAGCAATGGCCTGATGGTTCATGGTGAGCTTTATTCTTCGATTTTTAATAAACTATACTATTATTATATATGATGATAAAATATTTGAATTTATCTAACCGGAAATACACGTGCAGGTACGGCTACTGGGGTATTTGCTTCCTGTACGGTACATTCTTTACACTTGGAGGATTAGCTGCAGCTGGCAAAACATACGAAAACTGCGAAGCCGTTAGAAAAGCCGTCAACTTTTTCTTGTCTTCGCAAAATGAAGAAGGTGGATGGGGAGAAAGCCTCGAGTCCTGCCCAAGCATGGTAATATTACTAATTCCACTAAAACAAAACATAAAACCGAAATTTCTTCATCGAATAAAATACTGAAATTTGAAATTTTTTTGGTGATAGAAATACACACCATTGGAAGGAAACCGCACGAATTTGGTGCAGACATCATGGGCAATGCTTGGTCTTATGTATGGTGGACAGGTTAGTTCGTCGATCTTTTTTTTCGTTCTTATAAAAAAAATAAAAAATAATGGAAATGTATTTACCGATATTTCTGATAACTGCAGGCGGAGAGGGATCCGATGCCTCTGCATAAAGCAGCAAAATTGTTGATCAATGAGCAGATGATTGATGGAGATTTCCCTCAACAGGTAAACCATTTTTTTTTAGCTTTGTTCTGTTTCAGAAAAAAAAACAAAAATAGTATTCTAATTTGTGACTAGGAATAAATATAAATCAACAATTAATACAGGAAATCACCGGAGTTTACATGAAGAACTGCATGCTCCATTACGCGCAGTATAGGAATATATTCCCACTGTGGGCGCTGGGAGAGTATCGTAAACGAGTCTGGCCATCTCAATCCCTTTAAGCAAATAAATATGAAGAAGAAGCTCACAGCCAATGTCACAATATGTAGCATAATAGTTCAATTACCAAGTTGTTCTTTTCTTCTTTTTTCATACTCTATGTATACTATCTATATATATATAAATCTCAACGTGAAATGTCATGAATGTATTGTAATGTTGTGCAAAAATGTATAAGCAATTCATTTGAAATTCCTACTTTTTTGGTTAAAGAGCATTTCATACAAGTTACAGCTTTAGCAGCAACCGAAACGACGTAGTCTTCCTCTTTGCAACTAATGCCAAATCTGCCCAAAACGTCGTCGTCCCCATCATTCAAAAATTAAATCGTTATGAATTCTTAAGTGTGGATGACCACCATTATTCGCTATCATCAAGCACCACTACTCCCACCACTACTCTCACCATTTACTCACCATTATAGGCCCATAACTCCTTGTAACTCATGACCTTTCATGGTCTTACTTGTACTATATATAGTGCTCCATTGTATTGAGTTGGATACACAAGAAGAACAAGAAAATAATATACTTGCTTCTCTCTATATTACTATATCAATTTATCTTTGTTTTGTTCTTCTTTATTAGTTTCTTAACACGTTATCAGCACGATTGTTCTATTTCCATTTTCGAGTAAAGATGATCCAAAGAAGATAATTACTTCTCAACCATAGAAGATGAAAAGGGAGTTGATTTCAAATATTTTATTGTTTTTTAAAATTGATTAAATATTAATCATCTTAATTTTGTTGTAGGTGAATTTCCGTGAAATTCACGAGTATGTACTTCGATGTCTGTTTTGGACCTGATACTGTCCGAATTTCAGAAAATTCAAAATACGAAACTTGTAGAATTTTCTGTTGGCTTTCCGGAACATTTTGAATCATCGAAATCGGATCTCGATCAAGAGAGATATGCTTAAAATACTCAGCTCTGCCAGAGCTATCCCTTGTGCGTATTTTGAACATGATGTTCTAAAAATAAAATGGACGATTATAGGCCTATAGCCTATATTACATACGCGATTAAAATTCTCGATTGAGTATATTAGACTTTAAGTCTAAATGATAAGACTCTTGAACATTTGAGTTAGAGGGTATTCCTCATTTATAGTACTATTCTTTCATGATCAAAGTACTATTACGATTTTTATTAGGGTAAATTTCACTTTACCCCCTTGTACTTTGGCTGGATATCACTTTACCCCCTTGTATTCTCAATTGCATCGATTTGCCCCCTTGTACTTTGGTTCGATATCACTTTACCCCCTTCTACTCTCAATTCATCGATTTGCTCCCTTGTACTTTGGCTCGATATCTCACTTTACCCCCTTCTACTCTCAATTGCATCGATTTGCCCCTATGTACTTGAAAAATTATCTCAATGTGGCCATCGCCGTTAGTTTTCGGACCTTTGACCTTAACACCGTTTGATCTAAGTTTGAAATTTACAAAAAAAACCACCCCTCCCAGTTTAATTAATTAATCGACCAATTCAATTAAAGATTTTGAATCACAAAAGTTTAGTGATGCAAATTTTATTCAAAATCCATATCTATGGATGGATGTATGTGCATGATTTTTTATACTTGGAGATGAGATGAAATTTCAAACCAAACGATAAAAAGTGGGATCTCATTTTCTTGTTAAAATTCGAAACCTCTGCATATTCTGATTTTTCGAAATTTACAGTTTACTCCATCAACATTTTCATTTTAGTCCCCAAATTTAAAAATTTTACGATTCAGTCCAAAAGTTTTTCAGAATATGCAGCTCGTTCCTTTCATCATCCGCAATTATGAATAGATTTCAGCAATATCAGTTTTCACCGAATTATTTACAATTGCATCCTTGTCCATAAATTTTCAAAATATACAGTTTGGTCCCTAAATTTTCAAAATTTTAAAATTTGGTCATTTGTGTACCGAACCTGTTAGATTCTCAAATGTAGTTACTTTCATCTAGATAAAATCTATATTACATGGTTTATTTATTATGCAATATTTTGCACCCCTAATGAGAGATATTTCTATGGCATTCATTGTCAATTGCCATTTTAATGAGACAATTTTCCCGCCGTTAAGGGGGAGATATGAAGACGGTTCTTATATAACGGCGTGAATTATATGAAATGATATTTGTCTCATCTAAATTTGTGCATGGAAATATTTAAGCACAAAAGATAAAAAAAGAATTTATTTGCAACAATTTTAATGTGTAAAATGCTATATGCATTTATCGACAAAATAGCAACTTGATATCATAATATATGTTGCAAATGAGTGCAAGAGAAAATGCCCAAGGACACATTGCACATTAGACTTTGCCATGAAAGGCTTATAACGAATGTCCTCGAATGACAAATTTCACATTGTGATTGCATCGTGAATCCCTAAATGGGTGAAAAATGATTATGGTACACAGCTATGGTGGCATAAATAAAATATATATTTGGATGAGAAAATCATTGATGATTATATGGTAGCTACCAAGACCATTATAAATCGAACCATTATGTACCAATAAAGAGTTGATTGGCAAATAAATCATGGTTAGCTTGCTCTCTAAGTGAATAGAGAGGCATTTGAGACTATTAGTTCTCAATTTTGTTTTTGTACCGATATGCTATCTTAAAGAATTGAAAATTCTTTTTGAATGAATATTCATGTACCAAATTGAATTTGATAATATTGAGTTTGAAAATAAGGTGGACATGCAGTCCTAAATACTCCCTCCACATTGTGAAAGTCAAAAGCGCGCATTTTGTCCATGCACGACATTTTTATTGAAATAAATAATGAGCTCAAGCACATAAAGTATTACGAAAAACTTTATTGATGCAAGAAAATTCTCTATAAGAGAAAAATACATGGTACATAAAAAGATATGGATCTCTACAAGAGATCGCACCCACAAAGGCTACAATCCCCATTTATATGAATATAATTTTCTAAGGAGAATCCGGTACTAGAAAGTGAAATAGTGAGCTCTTGATTGATAATAAAGAAATATGGGGAGTACTAAACATGTTATCGAATAACTATATATATGTACAATTATTTCTATAATGTGAAGAGCTTGAAGCTCATAAATCTTAATAGATGTCGACATCTAATTGGTCATTAGTATATGCATTCACAAATGCAATTAACCATGACTATTTGAAATTATTGATGAAATGAATTGTACATTGACTTGCGGTCATCACACATAAAGTTGTGAAAGCCTTTAGTACAAACGTGGGTAAAATCATTGCGGTAAATTTGAATGCCTTGTGGAAATATATTTTTATGATGCAATCACTTTATGTTGGTATTCAAAATACTTGACATGCACCATATGGATGCAATTACCGCATATTTATATGGATCATAATTTTTTATTTCAAAGAATTGAAAATGCTTGAAGCATATAATAAAAGGTCTCATGAACTAGACTCTACGAATGATCCATTCAAGAATATGGTATTGTCACATTAGTTAATACATTGTTTATAGAAGGAATAATCAAATAAATTGATTTCCATTATCATTTGGTGCGAATTAAATCTTGTGGAGACTCATGAAGAGCTCACAAAGATGGTCAATTATTTGGTGACATAATTTGAGATGAAAAAATATTGGAAGGGCAAAATGCATCTCGAAAAGAAGATCTATTTGAGTGATATTATGTTTGTCCACTCATTGGATATAATTGAAGATCTTTTAAGCCCTCGAGAAGATAATGAAGACCTTGGTCTTAATATATGAGGATAATGTTGTCGGATTGCACTAACGAGAGTTTGGCTATATCAAGGGAGGTGGCCGAAGAATTATTGAAGATTTCTGAAGTACTCGAGAGTTAAAGAAGAAAGACGACATTGACAGTTATTGATGACAAACAAATAACGAGTTTACAAATCCATACGTCGGCGATCTTACTCCAAGGTCTCATGCTGAAATCAGGGGGAGCGTGATCAACAATTTCAACACTGTACTCTTTTTCCTTCGTCCAAGTTTTTATCCCAATGGGTTTTTCTTGGCAAGGTTTTAACGAGACAGTGTTATGCTCTCAAGATTTAAATAGATATGTACTCTTTTCTCCTTTAATTTGTTTAGGTTTTGTCCCATTGGGTTTTCCTAACAAGGTTTTTAACGAGGCATACTCCATATATGGTGGGCATCCAAGGGGGCGTGTTATGAATTCGTAAGTGTGGATGACCACCATTACTCACCATCATCAAGCACCACTACTCCCACCATTTACTCACCATT